CTCCATCCCAACTAGAGCCACACCCTAGCGCGTGCAGGGAGGGCATTTCCTGCCACATTGGCTGCCCTGGCCTCAGCTCTTTTAGGGGAGGGTGGCAATGAGCAGGCTGACTATGAAGCCTCCGGCTGACAGCTGAGAAGAGTCTCCACTCTGAAGTCCGGAAGGCCTGGGGCCCCCAGGTCTGTTCTGCAAATGGTGGGGAACTGAGGACAGGCAGAGGGAGAAGTCCTGGGGAGGGCTGGGATGTTACAGCCTCTGGAAGTTACATCTGGTGAGACATGAATAGAGCAAGTAGAGGCAGAGAGCACCCGCAAGTTTAGGCACAAGCTCCACGAGCTCAGAAACACATCTCTGTTGTTCGCTGAGGGATGGAACAGGGACTCAGCAACAATCCCAGTAAACAGACTCAAGGGTGAAAGAGCCTGTAGTACCCATCCAGGAGAGGGCGCAAGGGCCAGAGGGAGCTCAGGTGATGGCCACACTCATCACGCTTGTTCTGTGTATACCTAATAGGGCATTCCACCCTTGCGCCTAAAACCAAAGCATCTTTCTGTCTTGCTAAAAACTCTTTGTACAGATCAAATAGGAACTATCACATTCCAGGGCTAGCACTGCACTGGTCATTCCCCTAATCCTGGCCATTCAAGATGTTTCCTGTATGCTGGAAACTGACAAGGAATTAGGTGGCAGGGGGACTGGCTCTGGAGATGACACTGTAACCTCAAAGCCCAGCTCCTCTATGTACTAGCCTTGTGCTTGTGGGTGAGTTACTCATCCACCTTGTGCCTTATATAACCAGAAAATGGCAGCAGCAAGCAACCAGGGTGATTATGGGGGTTGAATCTGTCAAGGAGTGTAAAGCTGTTAGAAGTGAGTGCCCAATAGCTGACCTTAGAGAAATACTCACCAACTCACCCCCAGCACTCAGCTCGGGTTTCTGGAGTTCCCCTGCTAGAGTCCAGGAAGTGGGACCATGGGGTCAGCCTGAAGCACAATGCACTGAGTGCCTTTGAGAATCTCATCAGCACTAACAGAAATAAGGGTCTTCATCCCTATTGGCCCAAGAACAAGGGCCCAGAGGACCCAGAAAGTAGGCCCACCCTCCCAGATCACTGGTATCCCAGCATCTCTCCAGCCAAGGGGATACCAGCATCCCAGCATCTTTCTAAGCATCCCGGACAGAAAGCAGCTCTCCTACAGCCTACAAACCCAGATAGGCCCATGCACAGGACACACAAGCTCCAGCCCTTCAGCTGCACGCTGGCATTTTATTTTAATTCATAACTTTGTATTTTTTTTCTCCAAAGAGAGCCTCCCTTTGCGTAAGTTTCAGGACCCAGAAAACCAGAACTCCACCTGTGCATGTCACTGGTCTATTTGTCTGTTTAGCCCACTAACGTATCAGCATCTTAAGGACAGTGCACTTGTCTTCTTGTTTTACCTCCAGTGCTCAGCTAAGTGCCTGAGACATGGGGCACTGATGCTGCTGGGTGTGTAAGTGAGTGCATAAATGAATGCATGTGAAGGAAAGGGAACAATAGCCTGACCTGAAAGCTCTCTTTCTTCTTTTCCTTCATTCTGCTTGGATCCCGCCTTCAAATTCTCCTTACAAGTTGATCCTTCCCCACCCAACAGCCATTCTACTACTGGCTCTCCCAAGCTCCCCTCTTCCTGGACACACCTCCTATCCCTGCTTTTGTGGCTTGTAAAGGTTATCGCAGGGGAAACTCCACCAGCTCTTCCCTGCCAGGTTTCTATCAGACAACTGCCAGCAGGTCCGCTTATCTCCTCTGCGGACCTGGGCTTGCAGTCTGTCTTTGGGCTTGCTGATAACACTGCTCCGCCCAAGGGAATGCCTGAGTTCTGAGAGGGGTGAGGGCAGTCACGTACGTGACTGTGTTACTCTGCCATGGGGAAATAAAAAACAGGCCTGGCCACAGCCCCCTGTGGGGAGGTAAAGTGCCCAGCCAGCCCTCTCCAACCCCTGCCCTCCTGCTTGCTCTCTACTGTCAGCCCACATACCTGGGCTTATCCTCCCCTCCCTGCTGTCCCCACTCTGCCACTCATGTGTATCGGTTCCTCCTCCAATTCGCACTCTTGGCTGGGATGTGATGCTGAGCAGCACCCAGGAGACGGAAGGCACTCAGAAACACTTGTGGACACACGAAGGGAGCTAGTAGTTACCAAGTATGCACGCTGCATGTGTTCTGCCAAAGGACCAAGGGTCCTCTGGACTGTAGGAAGCTGCGGTGCAGGCCTGTGGAAGCTGAAACCTTGGCACTAGTGTAGCTCTGCCAGGAAAACCCCAGGCTAGGGGGAAGCACTGGCTCACCTGGCAGAGAGGCCCCGTTCTGCAACCACACACCCCTCTAATCCAGGGCTTTGCCATGCGCGCCCCAAGAAACGCTCACTCCCACATGCAATTCTATGCATGTATGCCCACATACCTCTATGTATCTCACACACCCACTAGAAGAACATCAGGGAAATTCAGACCACACAGGCTCCAGGGAAGCAAAAGATAAGGAGCCCATCATCCTTACATTTCAGCTGCCCTGCTGCTGCAAGGACCAGAGACCTTTGATCACGAGGACAAACATTCCCCATTGTTCTGGTTTTCCTCCTGAAACTGATGTATTCTGGAGCTTGTGGTGACATGCCAATAGTCAGATGGATGCTTCCTGTGAACTACTATTCTGACCAGCCAGGTAACCTGGCCCAAGTTTATCAGCTCTTTAAGGTCTTGGTTTCTTCATCTGTACTTGGGCCCCTGGGTTGATGGCAGCAATAACAGCGAATAATGGGCCTGAGACAGTGCCGATCCAGTTTAATAAAGGTGGCGATTGGGCTGGTATTGAGCTGGGAGTGGGGTGACCGTTCAACATCAAGACAGACCCAGATTTCAAGAGGGTTCTAGCATCAACATGTGAATGCATGGTGGTTTTAATATATAAATAGGGCAATTAAGAAATGATCCAGAGATGTGTATGGATCTATGTATGGGTGGATGTGCATGTGATGTATACAATAAGGATATGTGTGTGGTTGTGTGTCCACATGTGTTTGTTCCACAGACATACACATAGTCCTTGGCTCTGTCTGCTCAGAGGGCTAGAAGCAATGCTACCCCAGAAACAATGAACTCACTGGGACCAAGATATAAGCTTCTAAATTCCACTCTCTCCTGAAAGGGACCAAAGTGCTTTGACAAAATGCTGATTGCACAGAAAATCTTGGTCATTTTCAGATCTAAATGTACAGAATAAGAAGTAACTGCATCTTTGCTCATTAGCTGACTCTCTTCTTTGTTCTTGTATCTTCCAGGGTAAGCCAACCACAAGAGATCCCAGCTCCTAAATATCCAACCTGGGAGCTTGTGCCTAGACCCAGTGCCCATCTAATCTCTTCTCTCTTCTGTCTGGGCTGTGACCAGCTTGTACAACGCCTCACTTATCTAGCTGTGCACCAAGTGCAACGTCTGGTTTTGCCCCAGTCTTCTCCCCTCCAAGATGGTGGACCACTGCCAGGGCCAAGGCTGGTCCACCTGTCTCTTACGTGAAACTGGCTGTGCTCAGCCTCCTGCTGAGATGTTGTGAGTTCCCAATCACTGATACATAGTTCAACAGGCTTTTTTCCAAAGTATGCCCATGACCGTGACTATGACTCCAGTTCTCTACTGTCTCCATCCTTCCTCATCAGTCCAAGGTTCACAGACACCTTCTCTTGGACACATTTTTCTCCCTCTCCTTGTTTCTACCTCTCTTGCTCATGTTGGAAGCACTGTGGCAATTGATCCCTTCCCATCACACAGAAGGATGCATCCAACACCTAGACTGCCTGTGATCACAGAACGACTCAGGCTTGTGTTTCTCTGTCTATTTTAATCTATAAAACCAAGAAACCCCAAGGCCTATGTGGTTTTATTTCTACATGAATTCATATGCAGAGACCATACGCCCCAAAGAAACTGTAAAAGTAATTCTATTTTTAAAGACAAAGGTAGGGGTTGTGATCATAGCTCAGTGACCATAAAAAAGAAAGACAGAGATTTTCACCAATAATCATGTCAAAAACCCCAGTTGTATAGATACTCACTCAGTCACTCACTCACACATACCAACCTTCTTTCTTCTTCTGAAATAGTTGCAGTCATCCCCAAGTGGGTTAAGGACAGGCAGGGTACAGTGACACATCCCAGGGTGATGACCTTCTTTCCAACCCACTGTTCTCTAATGATGGAAATATCCCCAGCCCCCTCCACCCATTTAGTAGCCACCAGCTCTATGGGGCTCCTGAGCACCTGACATATGTCTAAGTGTGACTTGAAACTGAAGTTTTAATTCTGTTTAATTTTAATACAGCGGCTCCAAGTGGATAGCTCAGCTCTAGACCACAGGGTACCTACTCCAGGCTCTGCAGCCACAGGTCTCTGTTACTATGACTGCTCTACTGCAAAGAGGTGGAGCCACCTGCCAGATGGGTCCTCAAATGTGGCTGTGTCAGTCAGCTTTCCCCACATAATAAATAGCCCAGACCTTAGTGCCTGAAGACAGCACACAGCCATGGCTGAATTTGGTTGATGGCACATTTCTTCTGGTCTGGGAGGCTTGGCTGGAACTCATGTGCTTTATTTGTAAATCCAAGCCTGGCCAGGTGTGTCCCAAAGGTTGGGGTTTAACTCTTGCTCCAGGACACAGCGAAGCATTATGCCTGGCCTTCTTCGGGGTGGCTGGCATCTATTCTAGAAGATTGTTCCTGCTCTAAGCGTCTGCTTATCAGTTTTCATGAGAACTTGACAGGCACTCCCTTCAGGATCACGAGAGGCTGCTTGAGACTTCATCAGAGCTGTCCTTCCTCTCTGAGTGACAATTCTCCCAGAGGAGCTCTGGCAGAACAGGCAGGATCACAGAGGGACCAAGACACAGCACAGCATCTCCCCTCTCCATGCAACATAGTCCATGGAAGAATGTGGAGAAGATGGTACATCTCACAGCACTCACCTCAGAAGGCTGAGAGGCTGTCCATTCCCAGTCACAGGTGGAATGGTCCCTTTGCTCAGCAAAGAGCTCGGACCTACTGATGGCCTGTCCCTGGCATTTCCAGCCGAGGGAAGCGGAATCTGAAAATGGAAAGAAGACAGCGCAAGTCAGCTTTGACATTTACTTCATCCATTGCCTTTTCAGTATGACTCAAGGCGAAGAAGATAAGCCACCCACTTGTCCACTCACTCGCCCCAACACTCACACCTCACCCAGGTCCTCTCCATGCACGGCTTCTGCCCCATGCTCAGAGTGGAGACAGGGGCGAGGCGCTCACGACTCCTGCTCTCAGGGGCCAAAGCCTGGTGCAGGAACAGGACAAAGCACAGATGCATCAGGTCACTAGACACAGGGAGTGAAGGTGTTTGGGATCATGGGGGAAGAAGAGGAAGGGAAGAGGAACATGATGAGGAGAAGATTTTTAGCCATTACTCGAAGGAGGTATGAATGAGAGGCCATTTGGCAAAAACAAAAGGCTGTAGAAAGCATTTCCAAGGACCAAGAAAAACAGGTAAGATGCGAAAGTGCAAGTGTGAGCCAGGCCAGGAACAAGCAGACCAAAGCCACACAGGAAGGGGTTTCAGAAGATTTCAGCTGGCAAGAGTAACAACAAAGCCAGGTGAGTTCTTGTGGCACCCAGGTCATCAATGCACAACTGTGCCTTTTCTCATGTCACATTCTACCAATGTCACAGAGATTGTCACCCAATCATTCCTTTATTACTGATAAGCAGTTGAGGCCCAGGGAGCTGCTGTGAACACCCCTACCCTGATGGCAAAGGTGGAAAGCAGCAGAAAACAGCAGAGAATAGTGCCACTGTGTCTGGATCCAGAGTCGCCATGATGCAGTAATGGGCCTGAATCACTTAGGCTGCCTCTGTGCATAGCTGTCTGCTGGGTGGCTCTGCCTCCCCTCTGACACGAGAGGGGTCTATTTCTCCATGCTCAGAATCTGAACTTGCAGTAGTCTTGCTCTGGCCAATGGCATAAGAGCAAGTGTGACATGAGTAAAGGCTTAGAAAGCATGTGTGTAGGGGTTCTGGTGTAGCTCAGTGGCAGAGCATATGCTTAGCATTTGTAGGCTCTGGTTTTGATCCCAAGCTCTCCTCCAAAAATGCTTAGGATCTAGCGTCCCGTTCTTGCTGCAGGGAATCATTCTGCTGCCACATTTGCAGGCCTGCCAGCCCCACAGAGTATGAGAAACAGCATGGAGAAAAGCCTGGAGCATCCTGCCAGGGTGGCCAAACCCTCAGATTGGTGCATGTGGCCATCACAGGCAATCAGACCCCAGCCAAGCAGCACAGACCAGAAGAAATGCCTATCAACCCACAGGGTCGGGAGAAATCACGAATGTTTGCTGTTTTAAAGCCCTGAGGTTTGAGGCTGTGAGTTCTGCAGAGAGAGCTAACTGACAAGACCACCAAGGTAGCCGTGCACCATGGCCAATGTCCATGTAACCCAGCCAGTGTGCACGTCAGAAGGAGGTCAGCCTGTGGTGGTGACTGGCAAGGACAGGATCAGATGCAAGGGGAGGAGTAGGAGATTCCAGAGCTGTTTCAGATGTAAGGTCACAGTGCTAATGACTGACCGAAGACCCCAGATTTATCTAAGGCTGGTTCTGGAAACTATGCACTGCATGATGTTGAGTATAAACAGATTCTATTGGGAGCTGGTTGACTGCGCAGGATGTTTACATGAACGACACAGCAGTGGCCAGAGAGAAAGCGAGGCCTGTGCATCTCAGAATGGAAAGCCACAAGAATAACTTGCTTGCTTTCTAGCCCCTTGCTGTTTCAAGGGAGGAGGGGAGGGCACCACAGCCTTCTGACCCACCCACCATCACCACCTCTGTGCTAGTCCTGCCTGAGCAGCAGCCCCAGGGATCCCTGCCACCTGTGACCAGACCTCCCTCCTTTATTCACCAGCTCACACGTCCCGTTTCCCTTTGTACTTTCTACTCTTCCTTTGGTTCTGACCATAAACAGCACCTCCTAAAGGAAGTGCCCCTGAGGACCTCAGTCTAAGATGAGCACTGGCCATGCAAGGTCCTGCATGGCTTGGGCTCCTGTGGACCTCTTATCCCTGGCCTGTTAAGGAATAGGGAGGTAGGGAGGTGTCAGTCCCTTGCCACTGTGTCATCCCTGCCACCTAGCACAGTGCTTGGCATGTGGAAGAAAGTCAGTCACTATCTCTGTATGATAGAATGTGCAAAGCAAGTCAGGAATTACTCGCAAAATGTTTTTTCTGACTCACACCCTTCCAAACTCCACGCTGAGTTAGAGCCAGGATCTTAGGATGCCCATAGCTCCCTGGGGTTGTCTCCATTCAGATGTTCATTTGTCTGTTCTTTTGTTGTTTTGTTGTTCATCTTGTGAGAAAGGGTCTTGCTATGCAGTTCAGGCTGGCCTTGAGCTCACTTTGTAGCGCAGGCTAGTCTCGAACTTCCAACAATCCTCCTGCCTCAGCATCCTGAGTGTTGGATTCTAGGCGTGTGCCACCACACCCAGCCTTGTCGGTTCTTTTAGTTTTTCAGTACCAGAGATTGAACGCATGGCCTTTGCACTAAGTTGCGTTCCAGCCCTTTCTTATTTTGAGACAGGATCTCACTAAGCCACTAAATTGCCCAGGAGGGACTCAAACTTGCCATTTTCCTGCCTTGGCCCCCTAGAGTGCTGAGATTATAGGCATGCACCATCACAACTAGTGATCCTGTCTTTCACTTAACACAACTTTATATAGCACCACATATCACCTCTATCCCTCTGTCTGCTGTTCTCACTAGACTTTGACCCTAGGGTGAGGCAGGGGCTGCCCTTTCCCCATCGTTGCTCCCCTACTGGTTACTGCCTTGGTATAAGAGGCACTTAATAATGACTGTTGAATGACAGAATGAATGAATGAATGAATGATCAAGAGATGGGTCTCTGAGTGCCAGTTGGAATGTGGGTGGTTTATAATTTAGAAAGAGCCTATTTCTGAGCTTGGGCCTTAACGATGTTCCATCTTACTTTATAATGAATAATAATCATCATATAGAACCTGCATGAATATACACTGTTTCAGGGATATTTACTGTAACTCTCCTATTCCCTAGAACATAAGAAAGTGTGAGCAGTTGATTAACATGGAGCCCTGCTTGCTCCTAATGGAACCATGGGTCTCTCGCTCCTCAGCCTGGCACATGCAATTTCAAATGAAAGCCCAGAACTCTCCTTGGAGTCATGTAAAATTCTGAGCCAATTCTTTCACTGGCTCTTGAGTTGGATTTTTTTGAAAAGTAAGTTGGCAATTGCCCTGGATTTCAATTCCCATGTGTCCAGCAACCAGGGGGCATTTAAACGCCAGGTCTGCACACCTAGAGTGTAGTTCGCCTCCTACAACCTCAGTTTCTCAGCTTCTCCAGCACAGCCTTGGGGTGTTACACAGAGAGAAGACAATGATCCCACTGTCTTCCTTCTGCTGATCCCAGAAACAGTCTAATTAGCTGCTTTCCTTCCTTTGCCTTTTATTTTTTAACATGTGTCCTGGAAACCTTTTCTGAAGTGCCATGTTGCAGCGCAGTTCCTGTAGAGTCCTACTGCTATGCCTCTTTCTGTGTTAATTGCCACTTCCCCAGCCCTTCCAAGACTCTTCCAATTAAGAAAACAACTAAATTCTTACTACTGAAACATCTCTGGGCTGCATTCAGACACAAGAGCCATACAAGGTAGACAAATCAGATATAGTCCTCATCTGCTGGGAGGCCCAGGAAAGTTCCTGTAATCCAAGAGCAAAAATCAAGAATGATCAAGTCTCACAGAGATGGCTCTTCCAATTCCAACAAAAGGTCCCTCTGTCCCCTGGCTGGAGAGCAATAGAGTTGAGCTGTGGATGGAGGCTTTAGATTCAGTGTTGAGTTCTTCCCACTCCTGAGCTGAGCTGTTCTCACCTTCCTCAGCCCAGCCATCCCCTCCATTTCTGTCCATCAAATAGGCAACCTAGGACTTCAGTAGGGAACTGCTGGACCTAAACCATGGAGTCTTGAAGCAAGAAAAATGTCTACCAACTCTGCCTGGAGCAGAGATTAAGGCAAATTCCAGTCAGACAAGTCACAGTGATGGTCTTACTTTTCCTGTTCTGGATGCACAAATCATTCCTCCTTTGGCTCTATTAGTACATCTACCATTCACAGTACCCACTTGCCATCCGATGTTCCTTTCTACTGCACAATATAATGCAGTAAACCTCATTGATGATTTTATTCTACAACGTGGTTCCTTCTTAGAGTAGGGCTGGGGACCTGAAATAAAATTCAACATCACTCCTGGAGGAGCAGAGCCAGTTTGCTTCATAAATCATAGCTTTTCCCCTCTAAGAAGAAAATGACTGAATAATTGTTATCACAGAGTTTAGCTGAAAACTATCACTACGTTTGTAGGTTACAGAAATCTTTCCTCAGAGACTTGTAGGCATAGCGTATTCTAAAACAGTGTGGCCTGCTTCTGTGTGTGTCCACAGAGGAGGCTGGTGCAGTCAAGCTGTGTGATTTTACAAAAACAGACTTTTACTGAGACTTAGTCATTGCTGAGGCACACTTCAAAATCCAGGACTGTGTTGTACAAAAATTAGCAAAAATTTCCAACAGGAAATCACTTTGATAATAATAAAGTAAAACTAGCAGTAAAAATAGCAGAAGAGATTTTTAAGTGCTACTAGCACTATGCTAAACCAAGTCCCTTGTGCTTTATTATTCATTCTTTTTAGGGGATGTTATGGTTTGTGTCTGCATGTCCCCCCAAATCCTCATGCAGTCATAAGGCGGGCTTCTAGAGTTTATGGTTGACTCATGATCCAATGTTGGAATTACGGGTGTGAGTGCTACACCTGCCCCGTGGTGGATAGTTCGCATACAATGTAAGGGAGGGAAAGAGGCTGCCTGCCACCCCTCCTCCCTTTTGGTCATGTTGTTTTGCTGTTCCACCATCATGAACTGTTGCCCTCTGCCATGCGCCACCCAGCTTTGGACCCAGCCAAGATGGACTGAAACCTTCACAAACTGTATGCTAAATAAACCTTTCCTTCCTTAATTTTGGGCGTCAAAT